TGTAATAATAAAAGGATTGATCCATTAAGAAGACATAACAATCATAAATATATATGTACCCAATGTTGGAGCAGCCAGATTTATAAAACAAACTCTATTAGACCTAAAAAAGGAAATAGACACTAATACTATAATTGCAGGGGACCTGAACACCCCACTTTCAATATTGGACAGATCAACTAGGCAAAGAATTAGCAGAGAAGCACAAGATCTTAACAATACTTTAGACCAATTGGACTTGGCAGATATCTACAGTACGTTCCATCCAACAACCTCAGAATATTCATTCTTCTCATCAGCACATGGATCATTCTCCAGGATAGATCACATATTAGGACACAAATCAAGTCTCAACAAATTCAAAAAAATTGGAATTATCCCATGTATTTTCTCAGACCACAATGGATTAAAACTAGAAATCAATAATAAACAAAACTCTGGAAAGTATACAAACACATGGAAATTAAACAGCATTCTACTTAATGACTTATGGGTCCAAGAAGAAATCAAGCAGGAAATCAAAAAATTTATTAAGACTAATGAAAATAAAGATATATCATACCAAAACCTGTGGGATGCTGCAAAAGCAGTATTAAGGGGGAAATTTATTGCATTAAATGCTTACCTGAGAAGAGTGGAAAGATGGCAAGTGAACAACCTAATACTTCACCTTGAAGAACTAGAAAAACAAGAACAATCCAAACCTAAAGTTAGCAGATGGAAAGAAATCATTAAGATCAGAGCAGAACTTAATGAAATTGAAACCCAAAAAACAATACAAAAGATCAACGAATCAAAAAGTTGGTTTTTTTATTTTTATTTTTATTTTTTTTCCTTTTTGTCTTTTTTCGTGACCGGCAAGGGATCGCAACCCTCAGTGTCGTGCCTGTACCAGACCGGGACCGGCAACGGGATCGCAACCCTCGGTGTTGCTCCCGCACCTCGCTCAGCCAGTGAGCGGCCAGTCTGTATGTGGGATCCGAACCCTCGGCGGGAGCGCTGCTGCACTTCCCAAGTGGCGCACTGTAGCAGTGCACCACCGGGCTGGCCCAAAAAGTTGGGTTTTTTAAAAGATAAAGTTGACAAACTATTAGCATGGCTAACTAAAAAAAGAAGAGAGAAGATCCAGATAACACAAATTAGAAATGAAAAAGGTGATTTTACAACCGATCCATCTGAAATACAAGGAATCATTCGAGACTACTATAAACAACTATATGCCATCAAATTTGAAAATCTGGAGGAAATGGATAAATTTCTGGACACACACAAGCTCCCAAAACTGAGCCAAGAAGATGTAGAAAATCTGAACAGACCAATAACAATAAAGGAGATTGAAGCTGTTATCAGAAGGCTCCCAACAAAGACAAGCCCAGGACAGGATGGATTCACAGCAGAATTTTACCAAACATTCAAAGAGGAATTCACACGAATTCTCTACAAACTATTCCAAAAGATTGAAACAGACGCACATCTTCTAAACTCATTTTATGAAGCAAACATCATCTTGATACCAAAACCAGGTAAAGATACAACTAAAAAAGAAAACTATAGGCCGACATCCTTGATGAATATAGATGCAAAAATCCTCACTAAAATAGTAGCAAACAGAATACAGCAACACATATGTAAAATTATTCACCACGATCAAGTGGGATTCATCCCAGGGATGCAAGGTTGGTTCAACATATGCAAATCAATAAATGTGATACACCATATTAATAAAATCAAACACAAGGACCATATGATCATCTCTAT